CTCTCTCTCTCTCTCTCTCTCTCTCTCTCTCTCTCTCTCTCTCTCTCTCTCTCTCTCTCAAATTTTAAGTTACCTGATATTAGCTGCTTTTCTTCTCTTGTTAGCTCAAGGAAAGTAAAATAATAAAGCAAGCTTCAATTTCCACAAAAGGTCCTAATGAATTTGTTCAGGAAATAGAATTTGAAAAGCTTACACCAGGGAGCGTGATCATATTTAGGTAAATAGCAATAATTTCTACCCATTGTATGGAGTTTATTGGAATGGAAGACTAACATCTCTTATTTGGTGGTAATATTGTAGAGTTAGCCTGGATCCAAAGGCACAAGATGCTGTAGGAGTACTTCGTAACCATCTAATCCAGTTCAGTCCTCACTTTAAATCTGGAAGTCTGCCTGATGACAGTTCAGAAGCTATACTGAAAACCCCCTTTTCGGTGTAAGTTTGTCTCTATGTTGAAACTTAACAAAAAGAGGTAAAGTTACACAAATGTCTCCTTTGCTTGTTGTGTACTTCTGTCCTGTGTTCAAAACAGTCATGATGAATTAGTACGACAATAGCATGTTTGGCAATAAATATGATGTTACTTTTGGCCATTAATACTTTAGACCTTCGAGAAAGAGGTAAAGGTTACAAAGAGGTAAAGGTTACCAAGACTTTCTGTACACATTTTCTTGAAAGGAAATCTCGTTCAAATGATTCAGACTTTGGCATTAGTGTGCTTAGCAATGACTTCCTGCCAATCTTGTTCACTCTTGTTCAAAGACTGTTATTGTCTCTAAGACTGAACTACATATTATGGCGAATGTGTCATCACAGTTGTGCGTAAGAGATGTGGGTATTTTTCATTAAATGTCACTGGTAGGATGTATTCATCCAATGTACGATCACAGCAGGGAGGGAGTGGAAATTTAATCTTCCCTTCTCCCCACAGTAGGCCTTGGGAAATCTATCCAAATTCAGTCCCAGAGGAAAGCTCCTTTTTGCATTTTCTCCCTGAGCAAATAACAGCTAAGAGATTATATTTTTGGAGGTTTAGTGAAAGAGACAATATTTTTAATATAATTATATGATTGCCACATTATTTTCTCCCTTGTAGAATGATTGAATTATAACATGCACCTGTGATTTAGCTGGATAAGAGATCAAAATGTGTAATTTTGGAATGACAAAATAAGATTCACTTTCATGCATCTCAAACAGACAAGCTGTAATCAGCCCTTAATAAGAGCAGAATAAAACTTGGTGAGAGAATTCTTGGAGATCTCAGCAGTATACTTACATCTTGAATGCATCCTCTCACCACATCTTGGGGCTTATTGTAAACCTTGGCCCTTGGCCTAGATATTATGTAGTCACATATAGATAGTCCTTGACTTAAGACCAATTGCTTAATAACCCTTCAAAGTTATGACGGACCCTCCAAATGCTGCTTATTACCCATTTTTTTAAGTGAGGATAGACACACAGATACATACATAGAATCACATGATTGCATTTTAAGTGCTTGGCACCCAGTTCACCTTTCAGAATGGGAAAACTCGCCATAGCCAATTCAACATAGCTAGTTTACCACATTCAATTCGCCATGGGACAACTCATTGCAGGACAATTCATCAATTCAGTTTAATTATTTAAAATAATTAAACATTATTTTTATTTTTGTCATTTACATTTCATTTTGTCCTTCCTTTGGCATCCTATCTTTAATTATTCTATTCCACTATTATTATTATTTTGATACTAGTGTAACTCTTGTCCCACGTGGAGTTGTCCTGCGGTGAGTTGGTCATGGCAAGTTGTTGTAAACCCTTTACCTTTACAGCCGGTTGCAGTGTCCACAGTCACAGGACCTCAATTTGCAAGTTTTTTATCAGTTTTGGTGTTTATAGCAATAGCAATAGCAGTTAGACTTATATACCGCTTCATAGGGCTTTCAGCGCCCTCTAAGCGGTTTACAGAGTCATATCGCCCCCACAATCTGGGTCCTCATTTCACCCACCTCTGAGGTGGCTGAGTCAACCCTGAGCCGGTGAGATTTGAACCGCTGAACTGCTGATCTAGCAGTCAGCTGAAGTGGCCTGCAGTACTGCACTCTACCCACTGCGCCACCTCGGCTCTGTAGTTTATTTCTAACTAGTTTATTTCTAGTTGCTGGCAAAAACTGCCCATTGGGGAAAATTGATTTAATTATGATGTTCACTTAATGATCACTGTAAAAAATGTTGAAAATTCAGGTCCAATGATGATCATGACAACTTATAACTGGACTCAATTATGATCATGTTGAGAACTACCTGTAGGTCTTACATTATACACACCACCTTCATATGCTTGTTACAGCTAATTTCTGGGTTTTTTTCTTAGTATTGCATCAAAATTAACATTGGCGGATCTAAATCAACTACTGTATCGTTGTGATGCAGAAGAACAAGAAGATGGTGGTGGATGTTACGACATACCAAACTGGACACCTCTTAAATATGCAGGCCTTCAAGGTGGAAATCTACATGTTTTCGTCTCAAACTAATTGATAATGAATATATATTTATTCCATTTCAAAATTTAACTTTCTGTATGTTTTTATTCTTATCCAAGGTCCACACTTTTTGGGGTGAGCAGGGTCAGGGACTTCTCTGATCCCCCCCCCCTTTGTACGTGTGTGAGAGAAAGTGAATTTGATATTTTTAAAAATCAAAAGTTTCTAAAACTGCATTAAGCTACACATTTTAAAACATTATTTTTCAAACTGCATCAAGCCTATTTTAAAGCCAGTGTTATAGTTCTTGAATGTTTCCATTGAGAAACTGTCAACAATCTAAGCCACAGGTTCAGGGGCCAAAAAAGTATTTTGGGGAACCTCATGTGACATATCGTGCTATAAGTAGAATAGATCCAATAAAATCCATGCAATCTTGTTTGATCAATACTTGACAATACTTCCTATTTTAATTCTCAGTTTCTAGGATCTCTAGAAATTAGAAAAACAGAAGAATACTAGGACATTAATCAAAGCTACTGGGCTAACACATACTGGTAGTAAACTCTAGTTCTGTTGAGAATGATATATTACTGATTATTTAAAATTTTCAAACTAACTATAAATTTGTGTAAATTTATGAGTTTTCAAAATAATTTCAAACTGTGATTTATATCTCTGTTTAATAGATTCTCATAAATCACAAGTATAAACTGGTGAAATTCTGATATAAGTCTAAGAACCATGGCCTTTGTTTGTTGTCATGTCTGAATATAGGATAATTTTGCAGAATATTTTCAAACCTACACCTTAGAAGAAATTAAGATTTGTATATAGGTTTGTAGGCTGGTTGAAGGTAGCATAACACATTTTTAAAAGAAGCGCGTTTTTTAAGTCTATATAAACATCCTAAATTATTTTTCTTTTAATTAAATTTAGATCTTTACTGATTTCAAAAATACATGTTTCAAAGCTGTTTGTTTTTTAATTTTTGAAATCCCAACATGGGTCAGTATGATTTAAAGTAGAGGGCGTCTAACCTTGGCAACTTCATGACTTATGGACTTCAGAATCCAGAATTGGCTAGCTGGAAAATTCTGGGAGGTGAAATCCACAAATCATAAAGTTGCCAAGGTTGGACACCCCTGATTGAAGGCATACAAATAAATAACATGATAATGCATGCCATAGTTTTCATGACCTGCCGGTATATTATTAAACCATATTTCTGTGGATCTTCAGGAATAATGTCAGTGATGGCAGAAATACGACCAAATAATGACTTGGGCCATCCTTTCTGTGGCAACTTGAGAGCTGGAGATTGGATGATTGACTATGTGAGCAATCGCTTAATTTCTCGTGCTGGAGCTTGCTCCGATGTAAGTTAAACTTCGCAAAAATAAATTCTCTTTGTAAACAGATATTCATTTGTTATACATTCACTTACCTGAGAAACTCTTCTTGCAAACTTGAAAGCTAATATATTATTTGGGAAGCTTTGTACAATTATTTAACAAGGATTAACTTAACTTTCAGCACTTGTTATTAATCACAGTTTTAAATTTGGTATTTCTGTTTGTTTCCGTCAACTATTAGGTTGGGAAGTGGCTGAAAGCAATGTTTATCTACTTGAAGCGGGTCCCTCGTTATCTCATTCCATGTTATTTTGATGCTATATTAGTGGGTGCATATACTACCCTTCTTGACTTGGTTTGGAAACAGATGTCCAGGTATGCCTTTATTAGTATAGCTGTAGAAAGCTGGAACATGATATTGTTCAGTTGTGTCAAGCACAAAATGTTTCATCTGTTTTTCTTTAAAAGCACAGGGTGACTCATTACGGCCCATGGGATAATCTTGACCGCATTGAAAAATTATTTCCTTTTTTCTCCATATTAATTAAAGTAAACCACCTAAGTCATCTCTTAATTTCTGCTTGGTAACACTTAGCCAAATGTGTATGTAAGTATCCTAGCTGAAAAACAATGTGTTTCAGTTGATACGGTATCTTAATTGAACGTGAGATGACTAATAAGTGATAGCTCATTCATATATTTTATTTGATGTGATCCTTAACCGTCAGTAAACTGTTCATGGCTACTGAGCTTTTTAAAGATCATATAATGTCCATGAGACCATGAATGTTGGGTCTGTGGGACACACTATTTGTGGTGGTTGGTGATTGCTGTTGAAACATATGATGAAGGTGCTTCTTGGGGATTACTGTTTATTGACCTGTGGTTCCCCTTAAAGTTTATTTTGTCATTGGTACTGTTCAACAACAAGGTGAAAGCAATCAGAACCCTTAAATGTTATCTTAATTTTGACAGTGGGAACAAACCAAAATTATATCAGGACAACCCTGGATTACTTTTGGATTTGGTAACTATTTTCAATAGTGAAATTGCATTCTAGAAAAGCGGGTTTACAATTTGGGATTCTTTTTTTATTCTTAATGTCAGGCCTCAATTGCAGCAGTCAATCAAGTATCCATGCACTTAATGGCTATTAATTAGTGGAAGGTACAAACCAGTGGTGGGATTCAGCCAGTTCGCACCTATTCAGGAGAACCGGTTAGTAACTTTCCAAGCAGTTCGGAGAACCGATTGTTGGAAGAAATCTCCTTTTGTTTTTTTCAAAACAAGGCAGAAAGGCAGAAAGGAAACATTCTAGTGTTGTTTCTAGCCTAATCTTTATTTCCCTGCTTACAGAAACTGCCTCTCAGGTTAACCCTTATTACATTGTAACAGCTAAGGCGAAGCGCCCATCGACCTGAGTGACCTTGAGTTGGCCAAGCCCACCCAGTCATATGACCACTGAGTCCCACCTATCCAGACAGTCATTAGGGCAGAGAACGGTTGTTAAATTATTTGAATCCCACCACTGGTACAAACACAAAATGCTGCTTGCATTGAAAGAATTTTACTGGTTATCAGGCACAATTTTAAAAGTTAGTGTTCACTTTTAAAGCCCTAAATGGCTTTTAGCCTGATTATCTGGGGGATTGGATCACCTAGTATGAACCTGCCCAGGTACTTAAAGGAGAGCATCCTTTGATCCCCCACACATTGGCAGAGGTTTAGCTATCTTGTATACAGGAGGTGTGGTTATGGGATGCTCTGTGCAAGAACGATGTTTGGCACTCTCTCTTCCAGCCCTTAGGAAATCGGCAAAAATATATTGGTTTTGCCAAGATTCTAATTTAGTGATTTAGTGATTTATTGACATTTGTAGGCCGCCCTTTTCCCTGAGGGGACTCAGGGCGGCTCACATAAATCAGGGA